ATAAATAACTAAAAAATATATATATGCATATATATATGCATATGTATATATATATGTGTGTGTGTGTATATATATGTATGTATAAAATAATGTGAAGTTAGGAAATAGTGTTTCTAAAATTAATAAGCATCAATTAATAACTATTTGTTAGTGAGTGACTATCACAGTGCCTAGAACACAGTAGTCTTAATAAGCAGCTATTAAACTGATAACTGAACGTGAGCCTTCTTCTTATAACACTATAGGAAAACAGTTTCCTTTTGGTAATTCTCATCAGTGATTCTTACTATTTTTAGAGCTGTTTAGAAATAGGTATACTTTAAGATACTATAGATTGTCTTTTGGCATTCAGTAAAGAGTAAAATAAAATTTCAAAACTCATCTAGACTTCTTAGTGGTTCTAAAAGCAATTTTCTCCAAATCTGTTTAAAGTAGACGAAATAACATTTGAAAAACGTATGAATAAGAGGACATTTGTTTTCCACTAAAATTGTAGACCTGCATGCATTAAGTTAACAAGTTTATCTGCAAACCTTGGTATCGTAAGTGAAGCATTACCATTCAAACCAGGCTGAGTTCTTCCTCTGCCATGCTCTGGCCAGGTGGTCAAAGTGAACTCCTTGTCAGAAACGTGGGGGACAGCACAGATGATAGCAGCATATTACCAATGTTGCCATTGAAACAACAGTGACAGTGACAGCATAGAGTGAAGGCTTGCCATGTGCCAGGTTCTCTGCCTGGTGTCCATCCCGTTCAACCCTCACGACTACCCTGTGACTAACGGAACGCATGTGGAGATTGGAACTTAGGTCACAGATCCCCCAAAGACCATGGAGAGGCTTTCAAACTGTCTCCAGAGCCCACGCTCATAACCACAAGGGTTATAGGGCCTCTGTTGCCCAACAGAGAGGAGACCCAGTATCTGCTTCATCAAACCATCCTTTCTTGTGGTTATTTTCAGCAAGGAAGGAAACACTTCTACAGCTCAAGAAATTCATTCTATTGAGAACTTGTTAAACTCTTCCAAAATCAGTTTGTCCATTTTATACTTTTTTTTTTTAGAGAAAAAAATGTATACTTATTGAGTAACATTGAGAAGGGGTGCACACGGCCATCCTCCCACAGTTGTAGTTCTGGTCCCATGGGAGAATGTTTTCAGGGTCCAGGTGTGTCAGTCTCGTGGGGAACACCGTGTGGTGTCTTCTTCAGGTTGCATCTTCAGTCGCTTCATCAATTCTTGGTGCTTCTCAGACTCCTCTCTGGTCCTTCAATTATATCCTATAGAAGCTGCTGAAGTGAGAAATTCAATGGGAGTAAATTTTCTCAGTGGTAGTTGGTCTTAAAATGTTTTTATTTTTTCTCCGGTTCTAGCAACTTAGTTCTGTTGTGTACACAGTTACAGGTGACATATATTTTCTTAGCTGTTTAGGACTATTAATCCTCTGTATACTATTATTGTTTTTATTAAATCCTTTGTCAGTCTAAATTTTATCCTCTGTCGGTAATCCATCTTTTCTCTCTGGCTATTTTTTTATCAGTCTTTGGTGATCTGCAGTTTGATATAGATTTCCATTTCTGTTTGTTTTAAAATCCTATTTGGAATTTGTAAGTCTTCATAAATCTGAAGACTTCATCCTTCATCAGTTCTAGAAAGTGCTGAAATATTATCTTTGCAAATATTGCCTCTTCCCTATTCTCTCTTCTCTACTTTTGTGCCACTCGAGTTACACACATGCTGACTATTATTCTCCATGTCCCTTTGGTGTTTTCTCATCTCTTTAACACTGATCATTTCATCTTCTTTCTTTATTTCTGTCTTGCAAAATACTAATTCTCTCTTTAGCTATATCTAATCAATTGGTTGATTTTCAAATTTAAAGTATTATGTTTTTATCTAGACACTTTATTTCAAACTTTTAAAAATACATCTGGTCATTTTTACCTTCTCTTGCTCCTCACTTATGTGTTCCAATTCCTTCTTTCATTTCTTTAAACATATTAAACACACTTGTTTTTTGTTATATACTAATGTACCTCTAAATCTTTGGTGGATCTAGTTCTTTCTTGTTTCTGCTCAGTCTCACACGTAGTGGTTTATTTCTGTGTGGGTGTGGGCGTGGGTGTGTACGCACGTATGTGTTTTAGTGAGGTCATAATTGTTAGAACCCTATCTATGGGAGTTATTTTTTCTTTTTGGTACCAGGGTTTGAACGCAAGGGCATTAAACCACTGAACCACATCCCCACACTTTTTTTGTATTTTATTTAGAGACAGGGTATCGGTGCATTGCTTAGGGCCTCACTAAGTTGCTGAGGCTGGCTTTGAACTTTCAGTCCTCCTATCGCAGTTTCCTGAGCCACTGGGATAACGTGTATGCACCTGGCTCTCTGGGCTTCTTTGAAGGGGATGTTAAGGAAGTTTTTCTCAAGGGAGGTTTTGTATTTACTTCTTCCAAATGCCTAGAATTTATTTATTTGTCATATAATAAACCTTTATTTTTGGTGAATTTATTTCCACAACTATTTAAATTATTTTTTGTTCTGTTTTAATTAATTTTTATGTTTTAAAAGAAGTAGAATCATATTTCCTAGGAAGGCATACATACTTCAACTGCATGTGCAACAGATGTTGTTTGTCACGGTGCCTCACATCCCATCTCACACAGCTTTCCAAAACCACTTTTTCAGGCAGAAAAAAAAGCACATTTCCCAAGCAAGCAGCCTGATAAATTTTTACACACTGGGCGTGGAAGCAGCACTATTCCAAGAAACAGAACATCACCAAAATCTCAGAAGTTCCCATCATACCCTCTTTGCATGGTATCTGGTTTCCTTCCCAAATTCTAAATTCTAGCAGCATATATTAACTTTGCTTGACTTTTATTAGCACATACTTTGTTGTCTTTGTCTTTCCTTTCACTCTGCATTCTGTTTGTGAGTTTCACCCATGTCATTAAGTGTAGCAATAATTTCTTCATTTTCATCAATAGGTAGATTTCAATTGTATTAATATGCCACAATTTACTTTTCTAATCTACTACTAATAGGCATTTAATTTGAAGGGTTTTACACATAGTGCTACTGTGAATATTTTAATCTTGTGCACTGCTGTGGTAAACACATATGTACTCATATATACCTAGAATTGCATGAACACTCAGGGAAGCATTGCTTTTTTATAGCTCCCCACAGAGACTAAGCTGAGATATGGAACTTGCCAACTTTTCTCTGCTGTCTGCAAAGTGTCTGTGGAGTTTACTATTTTACTTTGTTTTCTGGCTCACCCTTCTGAGGGTGGAGGCTCCTGTTTACCAATGTGTGTGGGATGGTGGAGGACCTCCCTCCCTGCGTGGGTCCAAACTCAGTGTTTATCTGCTCCAGAGGCTTTAGCTATTTCCTCCAAAGCCACAGATGCCTGTACATTCTCCAGAGCTTACCCTGCTCACTGACCTCCCTCATCTCAGCTCCTACTTTTATTTTTTCCATCAGAATTATTTTTCTCTCTGGAAGAGACTGTTTTGATTTGAAAGGCTGTTTTTCACATTTCATTCATATTTGAGATGTGATGAGACCAGAAGATCTCAGGAGTTTTTCTCCAATTTGTTTTGAGTGAGATATGTCATGTACTCTGGATATGGCTTGCTCTACAAGCAGGATCCTCATGCCTTATGAGGGCAGGTCCCTAGTGTGCTCAGGATCCATCCGCATTTGGAAGGCAAGAGATTTGATGCCCTGTCTGGTGTCCTCGAAAAGCTTTTCTTTGAAGGCCCCCATCAGGTAAATCATCCAAACGACCAAGAGGCACCACCAACAGAGGAATACCAGAAGTATTTCTCCACCCCAGGATGGGGAGAAGGATGAATCCTTTACTCCTGTGTGGATCCATGACATCATAGCTTCACATCATAGCTGGGATATCAGCAGAAATTGTTGATCACAAGATTTTACCTAGAATGCAGAACACTCTATCCTCTTGTTCATGGAAGTATTAAAGCCTTATGAAAGTTTCTCTTGGTGGTGAAATACAAAATGTAATAACTCACAAAGGAAGAAAAAGCTCAAAAACGTGGGCTCATCTATGTATTAAGGCTCAACAAGCTGTTGTTGTATTTTAAAATTAAACTTGATTGTATTTCTTCTGAAAATATTCGCTTGGCTAAAACGATTGGTTTGAAAGTGCTTTACACCTAAATTGTATATGAAATTAAAAATGTAGAAGTGTATAACCACAAAGTGTATCACACACTTGGAGGCATGTACTGATCACAACCAAATAACTACATTTTCTATTTTTAGCCACTTAAAATTGCCTGTTGGTTTTAGTTTGGGTTGTTATCTCATGTCTGGTGAGAAACATAATTCCCTTGGGTAATTCTTATTTGCAGTAAGTAAAATATCTCAGCTTGATTTTATTTACTAAAGTCTACTAAGTAATTTTCCAATTTAAGCACCCTCATTGTGATTTAAAACATTTGCAAGATCTTCAATAATGAAATACAAGAATTCTTTAAAATCATGATTGTAAGGAGGTTATATATCTTGTAGACATCTAACCTATTCTAGTTCATCTTTCATTACAGACACAAAGGCATTTAAAAAGAGATGTCAATCTCTGCGAAAATGAATTCTTTCTGCACCAATCTCTGTGAGATTCATGAAGAAAATTAAATTGGAAGTTGAAGGATATCCCAGTTGATCCTGGAGGGCTCTTTGCCAGCATTCTGTCCTATGGACACATGGACTTGTCTTCATTGAATTTAGCTAACTGCCAGGAGTTTGGATTCTGACTTCTAACAATGCATCATCTGTGAAAACTGATCTGCATCCACCCTTCAAAACAGTGATGGATTAATTAGAACTTTAGAAACCAAAAGAAAATTGAGGGGGGGGGGGTGCTGGCACAGTAAAAGAGAATTCGATGTTGAAAACAAACTACAAAAGACTAATTTCCCTGTTCTTACATCCCAAGAATTACTGTTATTGCCACCTGAAGAAGAAACAATGAACAGCACATGTATTGAAGAACAGCACGACCTGGAACACTATCTGTTTCCAACTGTCTACATCTTTGTGATTTTTGTCAGCATCCCAGCCAATATCGGGTCTCTCTGTGTGTCCTTTCTGCAAGCCAAGAAGGAGAACGAGCTGGGAATTTACCTCTTCAGCTTATCACTGTCTGATTTGCTGTACGCCTTAACCCTCCCTCTGTGGATTGATTACACTTGGAATAAAGACAACTGGACTTTCTCGCCTGCCTTGTGCAAAGGGAGTGCCTTCTGCATGTACATGAACTTCTACAGCAGCACGGGCTTCCTCACCTGCATTGCTGTTGATCGGTACTTAGCCGTCGTCTACCCTTTGAGATTCTCTTTTCTCAGGACCAGAAGATTCGCCTTCATGGTCAGCCTCTCTATCTGGGTGTTGGAATCTATCTTTAATGCTGTCATTTTGTGGGAGGATGAAACAACCATTGAATACTGTGATGCCAGACGGTCTAATTTCACCTTATGCTATGACAAGTACCCTCTGGAGAAGTGGCAGATCAACCTCAACCTGTTCAGGACCTGCACGGGCTACGCGGTACCCTTGGTCATCATCGCGATTTGCAACCAGAAAGTCTATCAAGCTGTCAGGCACAATCAAGCCACAGAAAGCCGTGAAAAGACAAGGATCATTAAACTGCTGGTTAGCATCACCCTGACCTTCATCCTCTGTTTCACTCCCTTTCATGTGATGCTGCTGGTCCGCTGCATCTTAGAGCGCAACATGAATTTGGAGGACAAGTCCGGGAGGCAGACGTACACCATGTACAGAATCTCCGTGGCCCTGACGAGTCTCAACTGTGTGGCGGACCCGATTCTGTACTGCTTTGTAACCGAAACAGGGAGGTCCGACATGTGGAGCATACTGAAATTCTGTACTGGGATCTGCAACAAATCCCCAAAGCAAAGGAACTGCACCCTTTCCATGTCTACAAAAGACACTATGGAGCTAGAGGTCCTGGAATAGAATGAAGGATGGGGGCAGGGAGGGGAGGTCTGTGGCATCATTGCATCCAGATCACATTTTGTAAAAGGAATCAATCGCAGCCTGGGAGGTGACAGGTGTTCTCAGTGAAGATTTTAATCCGGTCCAAAGGAAACGTTTAAAAGCGCATTGTACATCTTCCTGCTCGCCTTTTATTAAATGAGATGGATTAATAAAACCTAATATTTTCCTAATGACTTGGGATCATTATTGTTGATGATAATTTTTTTTTTTGGGGGGGGGGTTGTTACCTGGGTTGTAATCCCTCAGAAGCTAGTAAAATAGGTGCATAGGACAATAAGCCCTTTAAATTAGTGCCCTTTGTGTCTGTTTTTTGTTGTTGGTTTGTTTGTTTGGCTTGGTGCTAGAGATTGAACCCAAGGCTGCTTTACCACTGAGCTACATCCCGAGCCCTTTTTTTATATTTTTATTTTGAAACAGGACCTCACTAAATTGCCCATGCTGGCCTCCAACTTGGGATCCTCCTCTCTCAGGCTCCCAAGTCCTAGGGATCACATTGGTACACCACCATCAAACCAACCCATGTCTGGATTTTAAGGGTTTTCTTGCTCTTTCTTTGGATTTTGGGTCATCAACCACCAGATCTCTCAATTCTGTGACGGTCTCCCACAATCCCAACTACTAACCACTGCTTCTTTTCTTCTCATTTATTCACAAATATTTATTGAACCTACTCTACCACTAGGTACTGGAGTCCCAACAGAAACGATCTCATGAAGCCTTCTGAGGTTTAGGTCAGTATGGAAACCTAGTCACTGAGCTTGTAAGGTTTGACAGGAAGCAGAAACAAGTGGACTCCCAGTTTTGATTTGATTCTTTTTCAGTCTACAGCTGAGTACGTGGTAGTTGAAATTACCAGAAGTTTATTTTTAGACAAGTAGACAGTTATGTCAAATCTTCTACCCACAGTCTTCTTTGAGGACTTGGAATATTTGGAGTCTTGATAGATCATTTTGAATCTTCATTGAGGAAATTGCTCTGCTCTAGAATTAGGTTGGCACTGGGTAAACATTTGTTCTGACCAAAGTGATTTTTAAGACTCTTTATCCTACTCTTTCCTTTTCTCCTTTCCTTCCTTCTCTTCTTTATTTGCTCTTTCTACTCCTCCAAAAATGATCAGATAGCTACTGTCATGACACCATGTTGTGCCCTCCCATTCCAAAACAATATCCTGATAATGAGATCAGTATTTTCTCAATAATGAAAATTTTCAACATAAACTGACGGTGATACATGAGCACAACAGAAAACTGCCTGGTTTTGAGGCCATATGCCCCTTCTCTGTTCTTTGCATTTTTTCTGGTTATAATGATGTTAGAGAATGAAGAGATTCTGGGCAGGCACTCTTGAGTGAGACACACTCACAAATGCATAAGAGATAAAGATTCAGCATTAAAACAAAGAATACAATAGTGTGAACTGCTTAATTATGAATACGTTATTGGCAACTTGTGAGTCAAACACATTTAAAGGTAAAAGATCCAGAAAGGACCACACAGTTGACTGATAGTGTTACTGCTGTTCACCGGTGAGTCCTTGCTTCTGGGAAGGCTGGAGTCTAACACCAGAGAAGCACGGCAAGGGTGGAGTGGAAAGTGGAAGCTTTATTAAAGGACAGCAGAAAAGACTTCTCCCCGGGAGGAAGAAAGGGACCCAAAAGGCAGAATCCATGGAAGGGGGAGGTCTTCCCTTTTTTATATCTGAGGTCTTCTTTTAGTCCCCCCACATTCCTGTCCTTTGTTCCCCTCCATCCTGCAGTGCTAGAATGCAGGTGGCAAGGCCAGAAGGTCAGGGTCCGGTGAGGTGATTAAGTTTGCTTTGAGCTACTTCATTAACATTGGCAGCCATTATGAAGTCAAACAACAACAAGTGCTAGCGAGGATGTGGGGGAAAGGGTACTCTTGTTCATTGCTGGTGGGACTGCAAATTGGTGCAGCCAATTTGGAAAGCAGTATGGAGATTTCTTGGAAAGCTGGGAATGGAACC